GGAGTCGGCACTTTAACGGGAAGCGCTGAGTGTCCAGGAGGCTGCAGCCTGGGCTCGGATCCCAGCCTGCAGCGTCTGTCTGTCTGTCCGCCCTGGCGCGGAGCCGCTGTCCTGGCATCAAGCCAAGGTCTCCTCCCAGGGCTGCGCTCTTCGGACGAGGCGGGAGCTAGAGCGCCTGGCGGTGTTGGCCCACGTTCCTGACTGCTGGGGGGCCAGCACCCCCTTTGTCTGGGTGTGACTGCAGCAGGGAAAGCCTGCCGGGGGGGGGGATCAGGAGCCCTTGGCGTCCTGGGCCACGCGACAGGACAGATCGGTGCCTCCTGGCACGGCTGCTGGGGAGGTGCAAAGCGTCGGGAAGCTCACTGGGAGGGCCACTAGCCCGGAGCCTCCTGGAGCCAGTTGCTGCAGCTCGCCAGCTAGAGGAGGGGGTTGCGTTGGCCTCCCCGGACGCTGACGGGTAATTCTCTCTCTGCGCCTGGTCCTGCCTTGCCCAGGGAGCTGCTGAGACCTGCCTGGCCCTCGCCCAGCGGAACGGAGCAAGGGCAGGGTACCCCGGGAGCTGCCCAGGAGATTCCGATTGCAGTAGCAGAGAGCCCACAGCTGGCTTGGGGTCTCCTGACGACGCACACCACCTGTATTGTGCACATTGGTGGAATCTCCCTCTCTGGAGATATTTAAGAACAGGTTAGATAGACATCTGTCAGGGATGGTGTAGACGGAGCTTGGTCCTGCCTTGAGGGCGGGGGGCTGGACTCGATGACCTCTCGAGGTCCCTTCCAGTCCTATGATTCTATGATTAGGGGTGCTCGATTGGTTAATCGAATAGTCGATGGTGCTCATGAATTCTTATCGATGAGTCGACTGGTCTATAGTCCTGGGGGGTGGGGCCGGCAGCCAGTGCGCTCCGGCCCGCTTCCAAGAAGCCCCCTGCCACTGGATCAGAGGCAGCAGTGCTGGGTGCCAGGCGGGAGCCGAGTGCCCGTTCAAAAACCAGCTCCCCTTGCAGACCGGCTGCCTGTTGCCCTGGGCTGCTGCCTCTGATACAGGCTGGCAGCCGCCCCTGTCTAGGACCGGTCTGAGCTCCTGGACCCAGCATGAGCCAGGCTGCCTGCCCACCTGGCTCCTAATAATACACTCTAAATGCAGGGTCCCAGACCCAGCGTGAGCCAGAACTGAGCCAGGCTGCTAAAAAATGTCCGGGGGAGAGGGAAGGCGCGTGGCTTACAGCAGTAACCTACACGCTTTTGTGTTTTAGCGACGAGGAGTCCTGTGGCACCTTATAGACTAAGGTGCCACAGGACTCCTCGTCGCTAAAACACAAAAGCGTGTAGGTTACTGCTGTAAGCCACGCGCCTTCCCTCTCCCCCGGACATTTTTTAGCAGCCTGGCTCAGTTCTGGCTCACGCTGGGTCTGGGACCCTGCATTTAGAGTGTATTAGAAG